GAAAAAAAAAACCATTTTAACAAAAACTATTTTATTGATTAAAAACAATAGAGCTTAACAGTAAATATTATAAAATGCAGTGTCGCGAACATTAGGTACGATTGTTAGGAATTCAACACAAGAATTAGTAAAACAGCATTTAGAATAAGGCTGACATGCCACAGTTAAACTAAAATAGTAAACTTCTTGTGGAAAAAAAAAGACTAGCAATATCTTAGTCATTATTACATAAAAAAAATGTTCGCATAGTGCATATTGCGTGTCGTAATTATATTTTAAATTATAAGGATTGTTTGTATTCCCCTATTTACAAAAACATGATTAAGGCACTGAAATTCGGACAACATCCATGATGATGATGATTAAAAAGACGTAATTAAGGCACAGATTTTCGGACAAAATAACATTACAAAATAGTACTTTGAAAATACATACCTAACAAAATCGTATGAAATTCGATGATGATAACTTTATTCTTTTGTTATCACCTACTAATGTAAAAGGAAATCAAACTGTTTTATAATATGACAAATTTTAAAATACGTGGTATCCGGAATAAAAAATTACGCATACCATAAATAATTAAAAAAAAATTATTTTCTTAATCTCTTATCTTTGCAAAACAAGTAATTAAGTTTTTAAATTAGTAACATAACATCATTAAAACCAGAGAGCTTAACCACCACCATGTACGAGTACGTTTATTTGAAACTAAAAGCAGGAAATTTTCAATCCTAATTCCTAACATAGATTGGAATAAATAAAGTCCAAATAAAAAAAAACATTACTAAAGTTTTTTCCATGTTGAATAAAAGTCATCGACGATACAAATTATATAAACGGAGAGACCAAGAATTCTCATTCAAACTTCTTTAAATTTATGTCTTGTCTAATAATTCATTATCCAAGCCAACTAAAAAAAAAAATTAAAAAATGAGCATTGTCTGTGCGTTCATATCACTCAAATTATAACATAATTCTTCAGATATTATTATGGACCTTAGTAGAGAAAACGAATGTGTGAAATTTTAAATACTCATACATAGAATACGCAGTTGATATCGTTAATCAAAAAACAAACGAATGTCGTGCATAAATTAAATTATACATAATCAAGGTTTTAAATTTAACGTAAGTTCCCATAGACAAAAATTATAACATTGGAATTGATGTATTAAACAATTTTAATATCCACACTACTATTATGTACCGCGGGATAAGTTAAAAGGGACGTAATAATGAATTCCTTTCTGAAAAAACGGGCTATTTAAAATGCAAAAACATGGTTTTATATTAATCTGGTAATTGCTGATATTGACGCATACCAGAAACTTTTCACGGTTATAAATAGATAAAAATTTCCTAATTTTTTAAAAGTTAAAACTTTACGTTTTTCGTCCAATAGTTCAACTTTCCTAAATAATTGTAGAACTGACTGGAATAATTTTGTCCTAAAAGTTCAAATAGTTGAACTTATCGAGCCTGATCCAACAGGTACAACTAGTTGAACTTATAATTATCTTGTAATAATGTTGAACTTATTGGATCAGGCCTAATTTATACCAAGAAAATATAAACAAAAATTAGTTACTGGATATGCATTCAAAGAGGTTTATATATTTTTAGTTAGTCTTTGGCAGTATGAAGCTTTCTGAATAATATTATTTGGTGGTGAAATATTATTACCTACAATCAACAGAATTAAATTAAACTATATCAAACTTAATTTAAGCTGGTTAAACTCTTACAAATAATTTATGAGCTGATTATGACTAAATGACAAAAAACAACGTTATTCACATCGCGATTAATAAGTAAAATAATATGTGCGTATTTAAACAGATGTTAATCGGGATTATCACACATTATTGTTTTTTTTTTTATTTTTATTTATTTATATCTTAGGTGTTATATACATATTATATTATCTGATCAAAAATATCTCAATAAAATCTCTTAGTATATATTAACAGTAGGTATTGTTAAACACTAAAAATTTGTGTATATAACATTATTAGTAAGTATAAACTTCATAAAACTAACATCATAAAAACTATACACATATAAATAAAAATTACATGCTTATATGTGTATGTTATTATATATAGGTACACTATGCTGTATACGAGAATATAAAATAGGTACAAAATGAAATTCATGACAAATATAATATTAAATACAAAATACTTTTTTAATTATTTATAAATATGAAAAATGCATTGGCTAATAGTGCTTTTCGAAAAATATTTATTATAATATACCAAATATTTGTGCATCATTTAATAGAAAAAAACATTAAAATATGTCAACATGATTACATATTACAAAAAAAAATATATTTATTTACATTGAAAGTAAATATATCATTTACTTAATACTCAATTAAGTCCATAAACATTCAGTATAAAAATTGTAATGTACAGTGTCATGTCAGATGTCCCAATCAGATCGAGTTCGCGTGAGGTTTGAGCCTTTTAAAACCTACAATATAATAATTCGTATCTTTGGTTTTATTTAATTTTTTTAATTCGGTGTACACATTTACTTATAAGTTGCCAATATTGTTGCCAATATGTTTAGCAGGCGCACTATATTCTATCAAATATAATGCAATTCTTATTCGTCACATATGCTTTTAAAATAATAAGCATTAAAACACAAAAAAAATTGAGAAAAAAAACATGTAATTTGACATAACCACGTTGTTGTAACAATTCTCTAAAAATGCAACGGTTATCTAATATATAAAAATTAATGTATGTTTGTTCGCATTTTATATGCTGCCATGCCGTTCATCAGATTACGGTAAAACTTTATCAACTTATTGCTTGCACTTGCGCGAAGGTTATAGGCATAGTACAATTGACTTACAGTAGCTGGCGTGCCGACAAATTTATTTGAAAGTTATATATCATTCAATTTCAATGTATGTATCATCATTCCAAATTAAACAATATAACTTTTCCAAATTTAAAACGATATTTCGATAATTATTTTTTTCTGTTGCAGCAACGCGCCGGGTACCAGCTGGTAATATATAAAAATTTGTTTCTCTAAATACAATAATATTATGTTTTTTTTTTTTTTGGAGTTTATGGCCTGGTATATACCGAATAAAAATACTTAAGACTTGGCCTAGACCTTTAGGCCAAGTCTTAAGTATTTTTATTCGGTTTATTGTAATTTCCCCACTCCTTCATAGTGTACTGCTTCACAATATGTTGATGCGTCACATTGTGCAGTTCTTGGGAGATTTTGGCGGCAACTTGATCCAGCAGACAGCTGATAGTTGGCGATGGTATCTAAAGGTGCCTATGCAAACAAACAGCTTATCTTGAGAATCCATCACCATCAGAGCACTTGTTTCACTGTTTCCACTAATAGTTCACATGCGTAGACACTTAATACACAAAATCGCAACACTTTTACATATCAAAGTCCACTTCAAACCATTATTTAAACAATAATACAGGAGCAGCAAACCGCCGCCGGTCAATTTCCCGCCAAAAACCCATAATATTATGTATGTATATTAAAAAAGTAGATTATGCATTAAAATAAATTTGATATGCATAGTATAAAAATATTTTTTCGTTGTGTCATTATATCTTGTTTTATATAAACTACCTACGGATCTTATCCCGCAGATACTTTTTGTTATATGACGGCTTATGTTTAAATACCTATGTGAATTATGTGATAAGCAACAATGATGGTCATTGTGTATAACATACCCGTGTGAGAATGCATAAATTATGAACATACATACTTGTGTGCTTATCTTACCTAAATGAGTAGTTGTAACAACAGATTAAACAAAATTAAGTACGTTTAAATTAAATACTTTAGTTAAAAATACTTCATTATAAGCAAACACGAAAACAAGCAAAACGAAATGAACCTATACACTAGATTGTACACAGACAGTTATAGCACTTTTGTTCTTAAAGTAACATTTCAATATGGCATAGTTGACAACGTAAATATTGATATAATATATTATTTTATGCACATTTTACATTCAACTGCATATTAAAAAAATTAACATCAATGCAAACTTGTGTTCACTCGAACTTATTTTAGTCAGTTTTATATTTTGAATATTCGTTGCTCAAAATTTTCTAGAAGTTTTTAAAGGCATATTAGCGTAGATGTACCTTGTAGAAAAATGTATTTACATAGTAGCCTGTATTTTTTTTAATTTGTAACATTTAAGAATGTCCATGATCATAGTAACTGAATATGCTAATGAAATCTACACTATTTTTTATTTCTGGTAATGTATATCCACAATATAATTATTAATAGAAAGAATTATATTTATCATAATAAAGCTTAGTGAAAAGAGGCCTTAGTTAAAGGTGCAAGTAACAGTGAAGAAAGAGAGTTGGAAGGAATAGTCAGGCTGTGGTTTTCTACTTTAGAAAATACTTTAAATTTTTAATAATATAAAGAATACTCATACACATAGAATACTACGTAACGAATGTTTTATATCATCAGTTGGTAAAAAAGATATTATTGTTATAACCAAAGTGGACTTAACGTAGTGAAAGTTATTGTTATGAGTAGACTTTAACGTTTGAAATAGTGTGGAAATAATGTATTAATATCGTGGACATAACCGCTATAAATGTGTGGACATAACCGTTTGAAATAGTGTAGATATAACCGCTATAAATGTGTGGACATAACCGCTATAAATAGTATGGATATAACTGCTTTAAATAGTGTAGTATTTTTACTCTATTCATTATAAGCCAAGTTGCGTGATATTTGGGTATTAGTAAATTTTTTTTTTACAATTTGAATAAAGCATTTTAACTTATCCAGTTTATTATAATTAGTTAATTGTCGAATAGTATGTAATACAAAACTCCTGCTTTAATTAATAGATTATAATATAGCCAAAGCTCACGCAAAGCTTAAGCCTCGATTACATTCTGAAATAATTTCGTGAGACTAGTGAAGCATTATTAGGATCGGTCCATACTTTGGGCCTAGTAGCCCTCCCTGGGCGGCGGAGTGTTGACGGTAGAAGTGGTCTGCTTGGAGACGACGCGAGAGCCCTGCGCCAGCCCTCCCGCCCTCACTGCGCGCCACTTCACGAACGCGTCCATCGCGTATGCGGCCGTCGCAACGAAACCGAAAAACTGACAAAAATATGGCCCGGTAACAAGTTTCCTTCGTCAGTCTGTAACAGCCCACTGGTCTGGTCGTGGGTCTGTCACACTTTTCATAAAACAGAAATAACTAACGAAGTTACATCCCACCTTTTTTTTTTATAGAATAAAGGTGACAAACGAGCACACAGTCCACCTGATGGTAAGTGAATGCTGAGGCCTATAAACTTCTACATCTATCCTCGATTAAGTAACAAAATGCAGATGCGATGTCATCTCTAAGGACTAAGATGGAATGTCTCGTTTCCAGTAAAAAGGGTCTCCCTTTCTCTACACTCACCATAAAAACACAGCAGTTGCAAAGCTGCTATTTTACGCTGGTATTCTGAGAGAGCGTGGTACTTTCCCGGTCAAGCCGACCCATTCCCGCTAAAATTATAATAAAGCTGCAGCATTGCTCTACCTCTACCACGTATAAAAACTGACTTGATGGTAAATGACATGTTCAGTGACATGTCCACCTGCAACTAACTTTAAAAAAGTCATAGATGCGTTATCACCTCTGAGGACCAAGATGGGATTTCTTAGAGTTTGTACACAAAACGGAACAAAGCAGTGCACCCACTGCTGCTTGGCGGCAGCAAATAGATAAGAAGGTGGTACTGGTACCTACCCAGACGGACTCCTAAGCATAAAATTAGCCCTTCCTAAAGTATTGGCAGTTATCGACACGCTAAGCTGACGGAATTGATGATCACAGTACCCTACGTCTCACTTAAGTCGCCGGTCTCGGCATTGTACATCAGTTATATACGTGATGATTATACCGCCGTCCGCAAGAGACCATAAGATCTCTCGACATCTTGAGTCACCTCTTACGACACACATAGTAACTGATTCTGCTCCTGCAGTGTGATTGTTTTCAACTGGCTTTAAATAAAGACGAAAAATTTGGGGATAACGTTTTTAATGTAACCGTTTAGACAACATTCTAGTTGTTACCTTGAGCTTGTGACATTCCTTAGTTCACTCAATATAAAGTAAAAATCAAGTACTCACAAACGCAGTATTAGGCGTCCCCTCAATATATGTTCGTGACAATCTGATGAAACTAGTAGGTAGTCGATGGAAGCAGGTGGCTCAGAACCGTACTTTAGGCCGATCTATGGGGGAGACCAATATTCAGCAGCGGACTTGTGATGGGCTGTACTGATAATGATTACGATACGGGATAACTATCTATCCACAATATAATATATATATATATATATTTAGGTGTGATTTTTTTTCTGTGGTTATCAGAAATGCACTTACCGCAGCAGCCGAATGCGGCTTGTCCCTGACAGTGATTGCTAAGCTAGCCGCCAACACGTACAGCAAAGTCCAAAGAGCACAGAAGACGAACTCTATTTTCAGCCAGGGTATCTTGTAGAACTTCTCCACCATGTGGAACAGGTAGAAACCGAGCAGGATACCCGTGAACCAGAACGCTATCATGGATATCCAGCTGAAGTAAGAACCCTTACCCATGTTATTGAACGAGGAAAACTGAATGCATATGAAACCGAGCAAGCTGCAAGTCTGTGAACAATTAAATAATTGTTACGAAATCTCATTTAACATTTTTTAAATGTTGGTATGAATACATAAATGAAAATATATTAACTACTATAAATAATTAATTAAATTAAGAATATAATAATTTAAATTAAATATGAAATAGCAATAAGAGCCGAGAAGTAAAATTCACAGTGTAAATTTCACACTACGCGAGCAATCCGGATACGATCCCGAAAATTGTTATTTGCAATTTTAAGTGCCGTGGGGAAACCTGCATGTCTAAGAAATTGAAAAATTATTTCGAAAGGCACGTGAAGTCTACCAATACGCTACGGGGCAGCACGGTGAACACTTTTCCATAAAATCCTCTCAGAAGTGAGAGAAGCCTTGTGTAGCGTTAAACGCTACAAAAACTCTGGAGATAATCTGTTTTATCGTTGTTGAGATCATGAGTCAAACACATTTTGCTTCTTCTTCTGGGGTCTTAGTTGGCTTCTGTAATCTCTTCGTAGCTTTTCCTTAACAGCACAAGATCATCAGCATACTATACTATATGGCTTTCATTTGGCTCTAGTTCCTATTCTAGAGCAAGCACCTTTCTTAGCAAATACTCCAGCACCAGCAATTGAAAAGCATAGGTGAGAGGACGTTGCCCTGTTTTAGTGCTGCAATAAGTCATCTATGAGCTCTCCGCCTGCCCCTAAATATGACTCGCATGTTACTATTGCAGGTGACCACTGCTACATATTATCAACGAGTTTTGTCGGGATTTGGAACTCTTTTAAAATATACAAGGCACTTCTGACCGTATTCGCACTTTTCCACGAGATGTTTGAGAAGGCAAATCTGGTCAACTATACTGCGATTTCATCGGAATCCACACTGATTATCGCTCAGGATTCTAACATCATTAGGAATGAAATCAAAACACTTTATACGCCGTAAGTATAGAGTTATTCCCAGTAGTTACTACAATTCTTTTTACAAGCATCCTGTATGTAAGAATATATTCATAGTTTAGTTTAGTTAATAGACAGAAGTGACAGAGTGCTCTTAAATGTTCTGTTCCGTTGGACAATTTTTTTTTATAAGAGTGAACAAGAAGTTGTAACAAAATTTATATACTCACAACTTGAACAACTTTTAGAATACCAGGAATAGTCTTTAAGTACAAGGGGTCGAAGCGTATATTTGTTTGAACTGTTGTGCTGGATGTCACAGTAGTAGTGGTTGTGTGTTGACCAGGAAATCCCACTTCCGCCATTGTTGTTTGATTTCTATTAAAAAAGAAAGGTTGCTACATAATATTTACACAATTGGTAAAATTGGGGCATGACATAATAATAAGATAAAGCAACATAACATAATTATATGAAATTTATAATCAGCATCATCATTATTACAACCTACCAAAATCCACTGCTGAACATAGGCTTCCTCATAGATGGCATCATAAGGGATATTATATTTATACCAAAAAATTATAATTATTATACATTGATGACGAAAATACTATGGTGTAAAATTGATCTTTAATTTATTATGTAATATTTAAATAACAGAACTCAAAAAGTTTTTATCAACGGTAAGTTTATCCGGGTCAGGGATTATTTGTCGGACCCTTTCTATTTCTTGCCTACATTAATGACTTTTTTTACATAGTAGGAGATAACCATGTCGTGCCATTATTTACAGGTGGATATTTCATTAATTTACAAAGTAAATGACAATCACTGAATTATGAAAAAGTTAATCTTTATATATAAAAATTATGTGTCACATTGTTTGTCCGCGATGAACTCCTAAACTTTTGAACTGATTTCAAAGAAAGTTTGCACACTGTGTGCAGTTTGGTCCAACTTGAGAGATAGGATACTTTTATCCCGATAAGTGACGTTCAATATTTTTTTATTGCGAATTTAACGATTTTGTCATAGGAAGGGTCGTCGGAAAGGGCAGAACAACGTCTGGCCGTCCTGGCCAGCTAGTAATGATATAAAAATTACATATTTAATTGGTTTAATATTACGAAAACACTGAAATCATATTAGTTTTGCAGAAAAGGGCCATAAGAGTAATCCAAAACTCAAATAGTCTCTAAGACAAAAAAAATGGTATTTAATTTTTTTATTAAAAAAAAGTGATATTCATTCTGTAAATACTAGAAACAGACACCATCTAGTACAGCAGTACTACTGTACAAGTTATTCTAACTCCTCAGAGTCAGTAATTCATTCTGGGGGCAATGATACTTTTACAAAGAGATAAAAGTGGACAAATTTTGTATAAAATATACAAAATTTGTCCACTGCCAAGTTCAAAAACTTTATTAAGCATAGATTATATAAACAGGGTTATTATAATATGATGGAATGTATGGATGATAATAACGGCTGGGAATGAGGCAAAGTTATTTCTAACATGATTTGTATAGTTAATTGATAACAATACCAATGATTGTAAACTGTTCTTTTTGTGTTTTTTTTTTTAAACATGGTGCTGGTTTTCTTTCTGATTCTTCCCAGGACAGATGTATTTTATGAACCAGTGGTAAATTAAACATAAGAATGACTTTCAATAAGTATTGTTTATATTCTGTGTTGAATAAAAAATTCCATCTTTATCCTATTTTTATTCAAATATTCTAATTTTATTTTAAATGTATCAAATTCATTAATTTCACTGCTTTGTGGCTCTTTGGGGGCGCTAGTTAAAATCCCACATGGCACAAGGATTTTTGCAGCCTACAAATAATTTCTCCGGGTCTGGATGTTTGACCTTGTGCAATTTATATATGTAAACTGCCTCCGTGATACAGGAAGAAATCGTTATGTGGATGTACCATTAAAAACATCCATAACCACTCAGATTATTTTCTATAATCTGAGCATAACCATATCTTACAACATTGGTGAGATGCGCACGAACACGAATCAACGAACGCACGACTAACTGTTCACATTAAAAGTTATTAAACTTTCTCAGGTTTTACAACTAATAGATAAATTTATCAGGAAACAAAAATTTTATATAAATATTAACTGACTGTAAAGAAATGTGTCATATTTCACTATCTACGACATGATATCTTATCTTTTGATGCTTAGTCATAAGATACATACAAATGATTAATTAATAGAAATTATAATTTTAAAACATAACACAAATATATATTTTTTGTTGCTGCCAGTGTAATAGTTCATGGATCAGGATCCTACGAAGTTTAATTTTAAAGCTATAATTATATACTGTATGTTAGCAATCTATGTGTTTTATTTTTATAAAAAAAAAATACATTTACAAAACAATTACATGTTTTAATGAAAGATACATCACGGTTCTTCTTTTAATACTGACACATCAATACTGCTTTGTTTAAGGTGATGAAAAAATATTTACATAGTATTAAACAAAAATCTTTTAATTTTTCATCTATAGATAGAATGATTCAAGACGAAAATTTATATGTATAATACATGTATATTATATATTACATAATTCTTCTGTCTGTGTGTGTAACCGAACTCCTAAATGGCTGGACCAATTTTGATGAAATTTTGTGTGTGTGATTAAGTTGATTAAAGAATGGTTTAGATTCGCAATTGGACCCCGTAGTTGGCGTTGTTGTCGAGTTCCAGGAATCAACAGTGCGAAGTCAGGGCGGATAGCTAGTATTCTGATGTTAGTTCCATGTTGAAGGCTAGTTGGCCGACAAACAGACGGAAGGGTAGTTCCTCGTTGTTTCGGTGCCGGAGGATCATATCCCGATCCTGTTGAAAGCCGGACGCCGCCCTGTATGTGTATGTGGGGCGGTCTGCGTAAAATTCCAGGGTCGTGGAGGAAAACTTTATGATACTCCACCGAGCAAACAGGCGGTAAACCACACAAAAGCCGCGGATACTGGTGCCATGGACACCGAGGCAGCAGGACCCCAAGACCAGTGACAAAACGGACTGCACAACCAAGTCGAAACCACCAGCGGAAATCAGGCTCAGCGGTCGTCCAACTCCGACACGGTGGCTGACGATGAGACCCGAAATCTGCTGGCAGGCTTATTTTTGGGCGAAGACGGGAAGGACGCGGTCAATGATGGCGTACCCTTTGTCCAAAACTAGCCTTGTGCAGGCTAACCTCCACCACAGCGAAACTGCGTCTGCTCAGTTAAGCAAGTGGTTGGAGGCTCAACGCATAGCCCTAATCCAAGAGCCGTGGGTTGGGACCGATAAAATCAAGGGCCTGAACAACCTAAAAGGTAAGTTATTCTACAACTCTAAGCACGACAAGCCTAAAGCGTGTATTTATACTACCTGTGCGATAGCGATGTGTGATATCTGTGCACAACCGTAGCATTGCAAAACACACAGGAGGAAAGAATAGTCGTCGCCACCATGCCACATGCCGAAGGAAGACACTCCTCCCCCTCATGACCTCGTCAGGCTGGTGCATTTCTGTGAGAGGACCGGACTATAGGTTGTGATCGGGACGGACTCCAACGCGCATCACCCCCTCTGGGGAATGGAAAAACCCAATGAACGAGGTAAGGTTTTAGTTGAATATCTATTTAGCACTAACCTAACCATTTTAAACACAGGTTCTGAACCAACTTTCACAAACAAACGTTGTCGAACAATAATCGACCTTACATTTGCAACAGAAGAAGCAGCTAAACTAATTACGGGATAACGGGTGTCGAAAGAAGCCTCATGCTTAGACCATAGGTGGATCTGCTTCGTACTACAGGTTGATATCCCAATACACCACCATGGAGAAACCCCCGCAAGACGGATAGAACAAAATACCTTAATAGGCTGACATCATCGCTCACGGGTTTTGAAGGGACAAATACTATAGCAGATCTGTCGATCCTAGAAGAATAGCTGTTACTAAGGCCATGATGGATAACTACCATGAATCATGTCCAGAAATCACTTCACCAAGACATGCTAAGATAAAGCGACCGTGATGGGGTAAAGAACTAGATAGTTCGTAAGAAGGTAAGCAAGGCCCTAAATAGGGCCATGAATACTTCAATGGATGAAGACAGACTACTATACAAGAAAGTCAAGTCCGAATACAAAAAATGTATCAGGTATCGACGCTCGACAGGGTACGTAAATTCTGTTTTAACATAGAAACCTGTGAACAAGCGAATCGGATAAGGAAAATCCTAGCTAAACAGAACACGCCGGGATTCATCTCGTTGAATAAACCCGACGGAAGCTACTCAACATCGCCGGACGAAACTGAATGCATCCTAATTGAAACGCACTTCCCAGATTGCTGCGTAACTGGCGGTAAACCGGCATGAAGATGCACTGACACCAACAGCAGAAGACTGGAATTTAGCACAGAGAGTGGTAACGATGAACAAAATCCATTGGGCCATTCACATTTTCCTCCCCTATAAGGCGGCAGGACCTGACAGCATATTCCCGGCACTCCTACAGTAGGGGGGGGGGGGGAGTAAGCCCTAATAGTCAGACTTGTTGCCATAATGAATGCCTGTCTGGCTCTTAAATATGTTCCTAGAGGATGGAGGTAAGTGAAAATCACCAGTACCGAAACCAGGTAAGAGCGACTATACAAACCCTAAATCCTACAGACCCATGAGCGCACATCCTATCTCCTAAAGACAATGGAGAGGATGTGTGAAAGGGAATTAAGAGGGTCGGCGCTAATGAATATAACGCTACACGACAAACTACACGCCTACAGTTTAGGTAAATCGACATAATCGGCACTTCACCAGGTAATAAGAAATATTGAAGAGGCCTTCCAAAACAAAGTAATATGTCTAGGTTACTTCATAGATATAGAAGGTGCTTTTGACAGAACAAACTTCTCCAGCATAAAAAGTGCACTCAGTAGACATAAAGTTGAACCGGCACTGATTGACTGGATAGTAAACATGCTCAGTACACAAACAATAAAGATTGCTGGTGAATCTCAAGCAATCCAGATTAACCGGTTCAATGCGGATGACACGCCAGGTGTGCCATCGATTACTTTTGTGTGTGGCGTATGACACACGAGTCATGTCTTTTTAAAAATCGTTATAACTCGCTCAAATTGCGTTTTTGGAAAATTTATCCAGAACAAAATATTCATTATTTTGCAAGTAGTTCATGCATGCAGCTTCGTTTCTGGATATTTTGAAAATTTGTATTGATTTTTAACTTGTACATGGTACTCTTTTTACTTTGTGGGTTTTCAATCATGTTGTGGAAAAATAGTCTAATAAGTAACAAATAATAGCACTCATTG